GTAGTTACATATCCCATAAAATCATAAGTTACCAGTGTCTGTGATACCAATGTTTTAACCACCAGGCAGTTGTTAAGGTACAACATATCCCATAAAAGTAAATAATGAGATAATAAAATAATTTTGAAAAATAAAGTTGCTTAGTAAAACATAAGAATCACTTTAAAGATACTAAGTTTTAGGGTTTGTTAAGCACATGAGTAATATTTGCTATAAACAAATTTGAAGATATGTCATCTGTTAATCAAATTAACTAGTAATACAGCTTCCATAATGTGACGTTAATAATGATACAGTACTATCTTCCTAATCATAGACACAGCTCTCATCTAATAACTAACTACTTAAGGCAAAGTCAAAAGTTTCTAGGGCATAATTTTCTTACCAATTAAGACCACAGTGTAGAGCACAGTTCATAATCAGCCTTTCACAAAACGTTGACAAGAAAATCTATTTCTAAATCTATTAAATATGGAGCCTCCAGTTCTGGGACAATGGAAAATAAACCAGCAGTGGAAAACAAGTTATATTAATTCATTCACCCAACTCAACAACAAGAGGAGCTACGCCTGAAAGAGTTTCTTCTGTGAGAGAGCATCTTGTGTTTTTTGTAGAGCTAAGCTGAATTTTCCTTTTATCTCAAAACTATGATCCGAGAGAACCAATCCTTCCTTAGCTCTACTCTTGTCATGGCTTTCTGCAGTTGCTCAGCACCAGGATTTCCATCTTCTGTCGCTGACCTGGCATCACAAGTTAAGAACACAAGAAAGTCCATGCTGGATCAGGTCCGTGGCCCATCTAGTTCAGCTCTCCAGTCACACACCGGCAAGGCAAGTGCCCACTGGATCCCTCAAGCAGGATAGAAGTACCAGCTCCTTCTGCCCAGGCTGTCCAGCAAGTGGTGCATGCAGGCAGTGACGGCTTCCTTCTCATAAGACTTTGGCAGTTCTCTTCTCTATTCCATTCCTGCATTGTAACAGGTTGGATCATCGAAGGAGTACTTCCACTCAAGCAGAGAGGAAGTCTTCTAAGAACACAAGTAGGAGGAGAAAATTTTTCCCATTTTCTACCTCCTCGTATAGTTCCCCATGCCACCTCCTAAACGATCCTGGGGGGGGGGGGGTTACCAGGCCTCTCTCACAGATTATTTTTGGGAGTCGGTACAATAAACTGTAGGAAGAAGGGGGGAGGAACCCATGAGCACCCTATGCTGTATGAGAAATCCATTTGTAGAACATTGGATCGACCCCATTCCTTCTTGCTTTTCATCCTCCATTGAGTGAAGCAGCCAATCAGAGATCACCAGATTACTAGTTGAAAGCTTACATAGCCAAGCAGATGTGAAGTGCTTCTGATTCTGTTAAGGGGAATGGTCCAAGGTGACCAGAATCACTTTCACAACTTTGCACTCTTTTTATGGCAGTTTCTGCAAATTACCCAAGGAATGGGGCCATGCTGATGTTACCAAATATCTTCATGAAATTGTCCATGGTTTGGCTCTAACTCCCTTGCCCACCTGCTTCTCTTCACAGCTTATAGCCTTCCCTGTTTCTGATGGGTGGAATGAGACACATGCCTGTCCTTCTCCTGCTTCTCAGCATCCTGGCCCACTGTTCCAGTTCCTCCAGTCATTCCCTACCTATTCCTTGCTTCATCCATCATCCCTTTCCTTCATCTGTCCTGCCTCTTTGGTCCAGTTTGACATCACCTTTTTCTTCAACCATTCTCCTTCTACAGGATTATCAGCCTCTGATACTTTCTCTTCCCGCTTGCCAAATGGATTTTCTACTTTTGATCAGAAAAAGGCATGCCAATGCTGTTCTTCAGCTGTTAGAATATGTGTGCTTGACATCACTGCTATCAGGCAGTCCACCTCTGGACTGCAAGGTACTCTTAGTTCATCAAATGGATAACTGTCTCATTAAAAAAATTAAAGAGAAAAAAAAACCTGGGAGTGGAGGAAATGCTAAAATGTTTGACTTCCTGTTTAGTTTGCCTTTTCTCCTTAAGTAGATATTAGAAGAAGAACTTAACTTTGCAGGGGGAAATAGTTACCCTCTTTGATAAGTAACTGCTTTATGGTCCTGCCATTCTAAAAAAATATTTTTTCATGGCAGCCCATCTGGGCTTGGAAATTCAATTTGGTATGTGTTGCTTGGAGAACTTCTAGAATTACGTTAATTAAAACAATTATTGTCTAATGCAACAGCAAATCCTTGCTTCGCTGCATTTATTAAGCAACACAAGTCATAAAAGCTTCCACTGTCACTAAATCTGTTTTTTTTTTCATTAATCAAAAGAAAAATGCTCAGGATATTTTATTTATAGCCTCACAGCATGATATGAAACCTTTATGAGTCACCACCACAACCAGAAATGTGCCTTTTCATGAACAACAGCATAAAATATGATGAACAGATTTGCACTTACAAAGGAAATGACCTATCATTAACCAACCAATAATTAAAAAAAACACACACAAACCAACAACTTGGAAAAGGTATCTTCAACAAAATGCCTGGGGAAAGAGGAGGAAAAAGATTTTACAACTAATTAGTCTAAAACTCAATCATCCCTAAGTTCAATTTTTAAAAAAAGAAAGAAAAAAGTGCTTTCTGCTTGTTCACTGTAGCAGTAAATTACATAATGCTTTATAAATTATAGTTAAGATGACAGTTTGCTTTTCATATGCAGTACAAAGGGGGGAATGATAAGGACTGTAATCAGCATCTAGCTGTGTTTGCTTAGCAGAAGAAAAGGGAAAGTAGGAACAGGAACACAAGGCCAATCTATTCTAGGGAGTTGCACCATCAAATAAAGTATTTTAAAGATTTAATACCAGATTGCTGTCTGCATCACAATTTTTTACTTTTCTCAAACTCTGAAGTCTTACAAAGCAAGGATGGAGAAACCTCATGGCTATCAAGATTCAGCAACTTACCTTACTTCCAGTGTTCAACAGTGAATTGCAGCCAACCCAGAAAATATGTAGCAGTGCGATCCCAGAGGAAAAGAGAGGGGGACAAAATCCCTCTGACCAATGCCCAGTTATAGCTAGACTTGAACGATGTCATCCTGCTAACCTTATTGCACAACTCCATAGTTTATCATTAAGTGTCATGCGGCATTCTGGCATGGTTCACTCTGCCTACCTTCACTTCCATTTCCATGGTACATTAAGATCAAGCGTTTTTACAGCATCAAAAATTCTGATCAGCGAAGGTTGCCTATAAACAAAGCAATGCCTGTGGGCAAAGTTGGATCAGATGACCTCTCTGTCTCTCATAATCCATGTCTGCCCAGGTGAGTCTATCATTGTATGGAAGGTGCAAACTACCGCTTCATCCTGAGTAATAAGGAAATTGGCTGAATCACCACAGAAAAGTGGGAAGACCAAAGTTGCACTTGGAACCTAGAAATGCTACAGTGTATGGCTGCAGGTCAGGTCTCTGAACCTTTAAAATTCCTCAAGATCGCAGCTGAGGGCTGGTCATTAGGGATGCTGAACTCAGGGTTCATTAAGCTCAGACTTCATCAGGAAAATTCCTGCCTTCTTTAGAAGCTCTCTTTAGGAGCTACATGCAGCTAAAATTAGGACCTCATGTGCTACCTGAAAAGCTGCTCTCATTACCTGGGCACTGACTCCTACTCCTTGACCCCATCACCTGCTACCTTCAGTCATTTGCTCATGCACCAGGTTGGTTTCCCACAGTCCTTTTCTGCACCTGGAAGGTACTCAACTCTGCCTGGAACTGAACAAAGATGTTAAAAGATTAGATCACTTCTCAGGCTTCTTGAAGCCTGTGTCCCTGTTCTTCAAGGATGTATCAATACCATTGTTGTTTGTTTGTCTGAGATATAATCAGCTCAGAAGCAAAGACTGTGGCGTAACAAAGAAGGAAGTAATCCAGTCTTTGATTTGTAACTGCATTTTCTTCTCTCTCCTCTATGCTACAAAATATCATATATTGGCCTTTCAGCTGAGGCTTTTGTCATGGGTACTAAATGGATTACTTTCATTCCTTCCTTTCATGTGCTGTAACCTCTAATGCCCATCTTCTGCTGTGGAAAACCTATATATATTGTGTGGGGGGTACGTTTTTACTATGGGCTGGGTTTTAGTTCTTTTCTTTTAATTCACAAGCTCAGATACTCACAAAGTCTCATACAAAGACACCTTTCAGTAGAGCAGCTTTAGCAAAAGAAACTCTGCATTAACTTTAATACTTTTTATTATCTTAGGCCAAGCAGAGATGATTACAACCCTATCCATCACCCCACAGACAGACAGATGAAGCAGTCAAAGCCTCATTACTGCTTACTTTCTACTTGGAAGGGAGCCAGTGTTGGGCTGATGTGCATACTTGAACTTGGCCCTGCCAGTTGGCCTTCTTCTGCCATCAAGGCTGTGCGTTCCTTGATAGAAGGCCTGGTGGCAATGGCAAAGGTGGGTGCGCAGCCCATCTTGACATGTTAATGCCCGGATTCTTTCCAGTGTCTCCATTTCACATCTGCAATACTACCGTGATTCGACATTGGGATTTAATAGTCTCATATCTCAGGAAAAGTAACTGCAGGTTTGTAGATGTGGCATCATGCACGTTACATGCTCAGTGACCACATAAAAGTGGGTAACCTACATAACCACTGAGATGCTCAAATGACATGAAACCTTTTTAATAGGTTAGCTGCCAGGGAAGACTGATTTGGCCCATCCCTGCCTCACCACACACAGCCTTGACCATTTATGCAATCAGCAGAAAGCGAGGAATCCTCTATACTAAAATATTAGTGTGTGCATGCGTGCATGAATCAGCATGTGTGTGTGTGTGTGTGCGCACACATGAACAAGACCCCTCCCAGGTAAGAACATGGATGCACATAGAAAACTAGATATCAGGGAAAACTTCAGCTTAGGCTGCTCTTGGAGAGATTAGTTTTCTATCTGCAGGTAGCATATTTGTTTATTTATTTGTTTGAGTGGTTTTGTCTTGTTGCAGAACTCGCACTTACAAGCATGGAATCCTACCTGCTGCTTCTGCTTCTACTGGCTTCTTAGTGGATAAGCTGGCTCAGAGAAAGAGTCCAGGAATGTACCCTAAACTAGGTGACTACCAATTTTCCAGAATTTCCTATCCTATTTCCAATACAGGTTTAATTTGGCTCCTGCCAGCTTAGTTTGGATAGTAGCAATCAGCCATTTCCATGCACACAAGAGTGATGAAAGGGAAGAAAGACAAGGGAAAGTGTGCTTTAAATTGGCAAGATCACTTCTTAGCAAGAGTTCCCTTAACCCACATATACCGAATTATCCCTTTGCAAATTTAAGACCTTTGTGTAAGTAAGGGTTAGTAAGGGTTTCCATCTCATTAACCTAAGGCACAAACTTATGTGTATTTAGACAAATAAAACTTCTACAACCAGCCATGCTATTCTAAACATGCATAGGATTGGGCATTTAGTTACATATCAATTCTACCTGACACCATGCCACCTGGTGACCTCAACAAATATGTTGAGGTTGTAACTGGTTGGCTAAAGGCCTAGAAGTTCTCTCTTGCTAGTCTTGGCATTCAGTGGAATCTTTAAAAAATATTGTTCATTATTGCAGCCTTTTATCACCCAAAACATAACAGAAATAAAGGACAAGATGATAGCAAGAAAGTGAAGGAAAATATTTGACAGCTTATTCTGCCAGAAAAGCTAAAATTTAATGGGGAAGAAGCAGTGAGACAATAGGATGAGATGGGTTTATGTATGTAAAGGATATTTTGGTTAAAAGCAATCCTTCAGAACAATTTACATATTAACTGCCTTCCAACTTAGCAGAAGACAAATTCTGCAACACTCAGTTTCAAAGGTGCATCCTTCATGAAAGGTGCATCCTTCATGAAAACAGCCTTTATTGACAATGATTTAGATCCTTTGATAAGTTAGTAGAAGGAAAGCATCCTATCCCCTCCTTCCTGTAGAAAGAATCACACTGTAGCCTCCTCAGCGTAGCCCAGGTAGTCCATGCCTACTCTTGGATCTACTGTATGGAATGGTGTGGCCTTTAAATAATAAAATAACATTTATTTCTGCTATGTCTAGGTCATTCTGGGTCCTCTCAATGTATCCATCTATTTCAGGGGTAATGAAACTCAGCCTGATGGACAAAAGTATCCCTCCTAATCAGACCCTACAAAATTTATCAGATGGCCACACCCACCAGATGGCCACACCCACTTCCGTAAGCTCCACCCCTTTGCCAATCACTTCCTGACTTTTGCAGTCCTCTCATTCCATTCAGAAATATCAGCATGCAAAGGTTTAGCTACTGACAGTAACAGAGTTAATCAAAATATGCTGGCATTGAAAAATAAATAAATAAAAGGGTTCTGCACTTTTTTCTTTCAGCCCCATCTGCAACTTCAGTGCAGTTTTCAAGGACTTCTCCAAAACTGAATTGTGCCCTCAGACAGAAAGAAGTTTTTCATTCTTGTGCGTGTATGAATTTATGTTAGAAATGTGGGTTACATTTCCAAGAACAAATCCTCTTAATTATAGAGACAAAGCACCTTTTGGATAATACAAATCAGGCATGCAAATTTTACAAATCCAAATTGAATGTTCATAATTTGCATTGCATTACCTTTGTCTCCAGACTTCATATGTTGGTATTGCCCTCTCATTTGAGTGGTATTTCCAATCACTCGGATTATGCATTCATATGAGTCTCTAATCACTTGGGCATTCATGGGATCATGCCAATCACTATAGACATGTGTATGGATTTCCAGAGTTTAGTTTCATCTCAAATTTGTTTTTCTCCAACTACTTCTATCACTTTTTCCTTATTACCCCGAGCTCCAGCAAATGGAAAATGTCATTCTCTCTCCAGTGCAATTATTATAAAACTAAAGAATTAAAATGAAACATGAGTTCCAAGTTTTTCAGACTGGCACGGCCATTTAATAACTGTGGAAATCCTGCTGTTTATTAAATGCTTTCCTGTAATTGACCCCATTATCACATTCCTCCTTCAAGGTTCTCTGTGATGATGCCACTTGATAGGCTTTGAAACTGTGAAAAAAGGTTTGCTGATTGCCTAGAGAAAGCTAAAGGTGTGTAATGTTCTTTTCAGCCATACCAAAAGCAGCAAAACATGAATTCATGCTCTTGCTTTCCTTGCTTTTGATTCTATAAGGGGATACTGAAAGAGAATACAGAATGTAACATAGACTCTGTCTAAAGGATTGTTCTGGCTCAGTCTACTGAGCTGACACATGAGAGAATGAGATGAAAAAATGGCAGTAAACATCCATCCATAAGCAGGAGATACAACCGCAATAAATTAGGAGGTCTGGAAGGAAAGACTCACAGATTTTTAATGGCAGGGGAAACAAACATAATTCCATGTAGAACTTTGTTAATCAGGCACTTGTCGAAATTGCAGAAAGAGGAAAATCTTTACCCTCTAAGAACAGGAGTGCTTTACAATTTAATTCAGTTTCGGAGATTTCATATGGAACATATAGCTAAGCCCCATTTCTTCATGATTCTCAAATGGAAATATTATTGAAAATCTTTATGTCCTTCCTTTCCAATGGTTAAGGTGACCTACAGCAAAGATTAAAACTGCCCTTGTCAACAAATGTGCAGATCATGATTTTTAGTGTGTGTGGCAGGGTTCAGTTGGGGCTGGGGGGTGACATATACTGGCTTAATGTAGGGTTGGGGAAGTTTATTTATTTATACAAGCTTGTATACACCACCCTCCATAGCCAATTTGGCTCTCAGAAGTGTTTACAAGATAGATAAATAGATAGATAGATAGAATAGTAAAACAATGATAATACATTGCAATAACACACATTGCAATAACAATACAATTCAACAGTTCAGGACATGAATCAGCCAACTGGAAAAAGAAATAAAATGAATAATAGACAAAAATAAACATAAACATGTGCAACTAAGTAAATACTTAAATAAACAAACAGAAACCTGGCAAAGCATATAAAAACAAGTATAATAATTTTAAGTTTCATCACTTAACAATTAAAATACTGGGTGCCAGATGTATTTCTCCGGGGAGTGAAGATTTCTTGCTGATGCCAGAGTGCAGGACATGGAATAATCAATTCAAGTTCCGACAACCCAGATTCAGGCTGGACATCAGGAAGAGCTTCCTCAGTGTCAGAGCAATACGACGGTGGAACCAACTGCCTGGGGAGGTGGTGGGCTCTCCCACACTGGAGACATTCAAGGTGAAGCTGGACAGCCACCTGAGAGAGATGGTGTAAAGTGGTGTCCTGCAACAGCAGCGGGTTGGACTCGATGGCCTTCATGGCCCCTTCCAGCTCTACTATTCTATGATTCTATGAATTCCACAAACCAAAAATTACCATTTTTGGTTTCTCGGTTTCTCATTTTTTCAACCTTTGGTTCACACTGAATGTTGTGATTTTTTTTAAGCTTGCATAAAACACATATGAACATTTCCGTGCAAACTTCTCCTAATAGGATTTGCTTTGCCTGATATAACAACAGCAACCTTTGCCTGACATACATACTTTGCAAGAAACGTGTGTTAATGCTATTTCTCCTGATATTCACATGTTTTAACTGGAGAACTCCACTTCAAAATTCAGTGGTGTGTGTTTCTCTTCTCAATAAGCAGTTTGACTGGCGTCTGTACAGTGATATTTTCAGTGCCAGGTGAAGACCATCTCATTTTCTGAGGCATTTAATCTTGAAGATTTGGTGTTTACGGAGCTATAGGATTTTTCAGCAAATCAGCGGTAACATCGGTAAACAGCTCAGATGTTCAAGCTGGGAGTCTGCGTTTGGAGGGCCCTTCTCCACCTCACAGTTGATACACAAAGGAGCTGTTGCTAATTTTGTTCAAACATTAAACCAAATCTGTTCTTATCCTGAAGCATCACTGAGAATAAATCCTCAAGATTCCACTTATATAATTATTTGAAGGGGGGCAAAACAAAGAGGACTGCTGTCACCATTTCTATTTGAATTAGAACTAGAACTCCTTGCTGGAAATATATATAGAATGAACTGGACCAATATGGGGTAAGTATAAATTCAGATTTTCACACTCTTGGCCAATGTGAGGACAATATGTTGTTTTCACCAAAAAACCAAGAGAAGCTGCAACTAAATTTAAAATAATTTTGGCTGATTGCACACAAGTGACTGGTTCACATGTTAATTATTCAAAATCTGAGACGATGGCAGGTTTCTGCCAGACTCTCTTGGCCCACTCCAAGTTCTGATATTTAGGTATCTTTTGTCACAAAGAACTTGAATAAATCATACAAAGTTAATTATGAGAAGATCTGAAAAGATATTAACAGTAACATTGCATGCTGGGGATTAATGGAGCTCTCCATTGTTCCCATTGGAAAATCATCCTAATTTGTGCATTAAGGCCAGAATTCATACTCTGACAGAATGAAAACAGAGACGACTGTATCATCTCCATCATTTTTTTTCTTAAGATTCTTTTAAAAGAAAAGTTGGAGAAAGTCCCCTCATCCTTGGTTTTTGTTTAGTCAACTCTGATCTTGTTTGTTTCTTTTAGTTCCTGATGGCACTAGAGCATCATGTGGTTCAAAAAACAAAAATGAGATACAAGGACCATTCAGAATCTGAATGTTCAAGTGGATGACAGTATATGGAAAGATCTATGGAAGAAGCCCCCTAAAGATCAATCTCAGATTGTGTCAGAGAAAAGTGAGTAAAAAATGTTCATGGTACATGAAAATGGAACATAAAAATGTTCCAAAACACCTCTTCCTTGTGACTTACTCAATCCTCCCTCAACATTGGAGGGTGTACCTGGAGTGAAGTACAAATCTACATATGTAGAGAAGTTCAGCTTCTTTTGAAGAGCCATGTTGTCTGAGATTGGGTTAATCACAAATCAACATATTCCAAATCCACTGATCCTAGAATTACTAAGCCTGTTCTTGGGAGAACCTAACAATCTGAATTGTAAGGAGTTCATTATTTGTTTACTTATCCCTGTCAAGCTTAGATACTGGAAGTTCTTCCTTTTCTGGGAACAGACTATAGGTACAATATGGTATGGCAAAAGGCCATAATAGGAAAAGCAAATCTTGTAAGTTGAAGGCAGACAAACTAAACAGAATCCATTTTATACAATTGGACATAATTTTGTTGATATCAATAAGACAGATAATCAACATAAAATTCCCTATGAGTATAGAACATTCTGGGTACTGTAAAGCATGTTTTTAAAGGAAAAATGATCTTACCATATGCAATCATTGTTTAATTATAATATTTGGGTTGAAAATAGCCAGCAGGGCTAGTAGCCATGGATAAGTTTCCTTGTCCTCCATGAATTTGCCCAATCCATCTAAAGGCATCCAAACTGGTTGCCACTAGTACTTCGAGAGGGAGTGCATTTATAGAGTGTTAGGTTCCTTTTATCTGTCCTAAATCTCCCACCAGTCAGCTTCATGGGATGACTCTGGGTTCTAGTATTGTGTGTAAGGAAGAAAAATATCTTCCTCTCCACTTTCTCCACATCATGCATTAGTTTAAACACCTCATTCATCTCTTCCCTTACTCATCACTTTTTCTAAGCTAAACACTCTCAGCTACTGTAGCAACTCCTCAAAGGGGAGTTGTCTCAGCCCTTTGATCATTTTAGTTGCCCTTCTCTGCACAATGGCATGAATGTAATAATGTACACAGTTTTGTCACATAAATGGAAGCTGCAGCAAAATTAGCAAACTTAGGAAGAGTTTAACTCTCTTTCCCTGCTGTAGTCCTGATAAAAACCTTTTATCCAAAGTTGGTAGTTGCATTTCATGTGAAGCTCTCATGGAAAGCAATGTAAATTTTTCTTGATATACAAACAGAAGTTTAGAATACCTTATATTTCCCAGAATTAAACTCTTCTTTCCTATACCCAACAGTTCCAGGCCCAATCAAGCTTTCATCTGCAAAGGAGATGGTCTTTAGAAGGAATACAGAATGTAAACAAGTCAGAAGCCGTCAAGAGGTTTTAAGAGCTCATTGTGACTAGTTAAACACAATGAACAGATCAACGAAGTTTGATATATGGCTAGCATATGAACTTTTCTGTTCTGTTCTAACAATGCAGACTGTAAAATAAAGCTCACAAGTGTGGGTTCACGAGGAAACCAGCCAGCTTACAGTTCTCAGGAATCCCATGCCGTATTAGGACTTTGGAGGCTAGTTAATATCCCAGACAAAGCTCCTCTGTTGTATTGTTATTTTACATGGGCTTGGCATAAGCTGGATGTGTAGGAGACAGCTCAAGTCCTCCAGGTGGGGATTTTTCAGGATATTTTATGAAGTTCGGAAATGATTGATTTTCTCATACATGGCTTTTCTTTTAATCCTGGTATGGGTATCAAAGAATAGTAGATGCAGCATTCCCAAAGTCTTTAGCCCTTTCAAAGCTGATTTAAAAGAAAGGAAGGAGTAGCTGGTATGCAGAGTGCAGGGGATAGATCAAGAGCATGGCATGGGTTGGAGGTAGGGGGCGAATCCTTCTCCCTGACTCGTTCCTGATCTGAATGGTGCCACCCACACCCTGCACCTGCAAGTGGGAGGAAAGCTTGCATTAATCCCAGGGGGAATGTTCCTCCCTTTACACATCTCAAGTGCAAAGTGGCTCAATTCAGTTTGGGACCATGGCACAGATGACGCTTTAAAGCTCTCCGCAGCACTGTCCCAGCACACCTCAAAACCTCCTGTGCTACTTTATTTATTCATTTAAAACAATTGCATGCCGCCCAATTGTGCCACAGCACCTCTGGGTGGCTCACAACCATAAGATAAAAGTGCAATAAAAATCAGGGACACATTAAAATTAGAATAAAATGCAAGCAAAAAATACAAACCAAAGATCTATGGCATTAGTTATTTTTTTAAAAGGAAGGTCATTACATGGCACCAAAAAAAGTAAGGAAGCTGTCCAGTGAATCTCCTTGGGGAGAGCATTCCAAACATGGGGGCAGCTGCAGAACAGGCCCCCCACCCAGCCGCCATCCCTCTCACCCCCTTAAGGTATGGCTCATGCAGGAGGGCCCCCTGTGTAGATTGCAAAGGCCAGGGAGGCGCATAGGGATGCAGGAGCTCCCTAAGATAGCCAGGGCATAAGCTGTTTAGAGCTTTTCTAACAACAGGAAGGGCGAAAGAGCTGTGAATATTGCCTTGGTCAGCCCTAAGAGAGAACAAGGCCCTGAGAAACTTGCTTTTATATGGAGAGACATTTAAGTTGTGTTTTTTTTTAATGTGGACTTGTGTTTTATATAAGGTTCATCTTAAGGTTATTTTAAAAACAGAATGTAAATAACTTCATAAAATACTAGACAAATGATGGGTTTGGAATAGACTTTGTACCACCTTTCTGTTGCATTTACTGATGCATAAAAGGAGTACTTGCTTTAACCTAGTGCATTGTATGGTTATCTGGTAATTTTCAAGTAATCAGAACTGTTGCTAATTTATCTAATACATTTTCCCTACTTGCAAATCCATCTCCAAAGAAAGGGGGTGTGTGATTCTGCATTTCCCTTATCTATAAAGAAAAATTACATACAACTGTTCTTTATCTCACCCTTTCTCTCCTCATTGGATAGATGCTAATCATGAAACGCATTCTCTTTGTTGAGCCCATCTGTTCTCACTGACTACCACCCACAGCTGTAAACCAGAAAAAAATATTTCAGATGATTTATCTGTAGAGGACTGTTGGTTTCCTATCTTGGGTCAGTTCAGCTGTGGGGATGCATGTTTAATTTTTTCTCTGGAAGCATTCCAGCAGTCTGACCTGCCCTCTAAATACATTGGTCTCCCTGCAGAGAAGGTCTGTGACCATCTTGGGCTATCAGTTCTGAAAAAGAACCCAGGAACCATATTCTAACTAGTAAGTCATTCATGTGTAGCTGCTGCTATTGAGAACCAACTGAAATATGAATACAGAAGATAGCATAATACCTGCATTATAAAATGGCATATTTCCATCACTAGCTCACAAAACATTCAAAGTCCTTTAGTCTGTAAACCAATCCATAAGCACTGAATAGAGAAATCCATGGGATTCACTGTTATATCATTTCATTTCTAGACTGTCCAGTAACTGAAGCTATTGGAGCAATTTGCAACAGTTCATAAAAACATGAACCACAACAGAATAAAAAGGCCTATTTTCTCAATATATACGATATAAGAACATTTTTATAAACTAAGTTTCTTGTGCACAATTAGATATGTTAAATGCTATTAAATACCTAGGAGAGAAAGGCAGTCTTCACCCAAGGCTGAGAGGACTCAAGAGTTGACACCAGGTTAGTCTTGGTGCAAGATTATTCTATTCTGCTTCTGCACCTTGCTTGTGAGAGGCAAGGAGCTTCAGCAGCTTCAGCACTTCAACTTCCTGAGAAAGAGGACTCTGGTGCTTCTTTCTGAAAGATTTGTTTACACTCAATTCAGGATGAAGGTCTACAACAGTTCCGACAGCCCTGCGCTCACCTTCAGTTGCCTGAAGATCTCTCTTCTTCCCCAGAGGTCCCAAATCAGCTTTCATCTGCCTCTTTCATTCAAATTCCCAGACTGCCCTCCTCCTCAACAAAAGTGATGAATCCATGTTCAGCTAAAGTACCAATTCAAGAGCTATAGAATGGGGAGTGGAATTCTTGAATCACTATTTGATTGGGCACTGAGTTACGAGGGATCCCTGAAATACAATCCAATTACACATCAATGTCATTGTTGTTGTCCTCTAATGAGGACTTCTTCCGTGTAGCCACCCTCCACGCCTCCCTCAGAAGTGGCACTCGGAGGAAGCCCTCTATGTTGATCATAGTAACTGGGTAGATTCATGCTAATCTGATGGAAGTGCTCCATCAGGTATTATGGTTCCACATCATGTAAAAACAACAAAGCTTTTCATACCCACTTCCTTGTAAGTCTTCCTAAAGTTCTTTTGCAGATCATCCTTCTGAGTATATTTCTCTATATAGCTGGCACCATTTCTTGAGGGTTGTACAAAGACAGTAAAAGTGATAAATTGTTCCTCTGAAAGAAGCTCTCCTGGTCAGATGACATGATTGCACTCTTTCAGCCAGGTTTTTCCACCAGAGGTATCTTCCCTTAGAGACATTCACTTGGAAATGATTACCAGATCTTCCTGCCTGTAGCAGTTCCATGGTTTTGAACTGAACAGACATTGAAACTGATTCATTGTAAAGGAGCTTTGAAGTACACCTAGGGAATTCTTTGGGTAAGGCCCTAAAATTTATTTTTATTTTATTTATTTTTTGATTTATATCCTGCCTTTTTCCTACAAAGGGCTCAAGGCAGCTTACATCATTCTCCTCCTCCATCTTGGTTCCCCAGAAGCACTTTTAGTGTTCCCCAGTTGCAGGGATTAAACTCACCATTGGCTAGGCTCAAGGGCAACTGCCCTCTCTAGGGACCAAGCCTGTTGCTATGGCTGCAACTGGTCTTGATTATGACATCAGAAAGGGTCACCATCTCATTTGCATCCAACCACTTCTGACTAGCTGTCATGCTTGAGGGCCTCCTTGTCTCACTCCTGCTCCCATCTTCACTCTGGCTTGCGTTCTGTTACCAAGCATCCCATCATACCTCATTCTAGCTCCTCTGTGGATTTTTCAAGCACATGTTTTGCTCCAAAATGAAATTACTCTAGCCTGGGCTGCTGCCTTCTCACATGCATTACTCTGTATGAGCCATATGAACAAAAACCAATAGGGGATTAAAATAACCATGGATAAAAGCACACAGCCAGCCTAACTCAATAGACATCCTATTTTCTTTACATCCCTGTCAAATAATATCCTACATCTTTTCCAGCTCTCTCAGCTATTCAGTTAGTTCTCCCAGCAGGCCCCAGCCAAGGACTCAGGTTTATCATCCTTTCTACATCAGTCACCCCTTCTTTCTGCTTCTTTGTTCCTCTGCCTTTCTGCTCCCTCTGTGTATTTTCTAAAATCATTTTCACACACACCCTACATTCCAACAGTTACCAAACTCAGCCTGTCAAAGGCTTAGGGAGAGCTTGGGTGGACCTCAGACCATGAGTCAAAAGGAGCCTGAGACGAGACTTAGAGCCAAACCAGCTTCATCCTAGTGCACTATAGGATAAAGGGAGACACTGGTTTGGGCTGCGTATCCCTGTTCATCTCCATTTATCCTACAGTACACTAAGATGAAGCTGGTTTGGCTCTAAGTCGCGTCTCAGGCTCCTTTTGACCCATGGTGTGAGGTCCACCCGGGCTCTCCCTATGCTGTTGACAGGCTGAGTTCAGTAACACAACCAATGACCAATGAGGGGGGCAGTTGTTTCTTGTTCATTTCCACAAACTAAGTTTCTTCTTCCTAAAGTTAATCTCTCCCCCCCGCCAATTAAACTTCATAATCTCCTGCATAATCTTCATAATCTCCTGCATAAACTTCATAATCTCCAATTAATCTTCAGAATCTTCAGAATCTCAACTTCCTGACCACCACCATAGTCTCACTGACCATTTGGTCTCTAAGGTTCCAATCCTCAACACACTTCTCTGGAAGTCATTCAAATTGAATGCAATGTGAGGCTTAGTTCTGAGCTGCTTTTCCTTGAATTGCCCATAAACTATTAATTTTTTTTAATGAACTCATTAGACCACCCGTACAAATAAAGCTCATCATACCCTACACTCAACATGGACAGAGCTATAACCTCAGAGAAGAAAATTCCCACTCTGCCCCACAGCTACCGGGGAAAAGTTTCATGGCAGCTCTTCCTCCAGGATCAGTGGCATGCCCTTTGTTGAGGACGGGGGAGAAGGGAGAGCACCAGTGGGTGGATAGGAGAGGGGAGAAAGGGAGAATCTGCCCATCAAGCATCAGCAACATGGCTACATGGAATGCACCTGGCATCAGAAACATACCTCCAGGACAGAAAGGCCTGTCTACCAAAAAACCTTGAAAAGGAGTATGTCCATTACACCTCCAACCCTCTGGGCAGCGTGTAGGACTCTTGGAAGCCTGCAAGATAAGAAACTTCCATCTCACCATTGGAAATCCAATAGGTTTGCCTTCTTAGGGAAAGCAGTACAAGTCAATGTCTCTGATTCAAGTTAAAACTTCAATGTTATAGATTATATAAGTGATACAAGGAAAGTAATTAAAGGAACAATAATTCATAATTTCCAAGAAATAGTTACAAAGCTGCTGGACAGCAAGGGACTATTGATTGATGCAAAGTGATAGGATATGTGATACATGGTTTGAATCTATATTTTAAAGCAAACTGCAAATATGTAATCACTTCAATGTTGCATAAAAGTTGGAAGGCCAGGGTCATAAGCTGCATTGCCTCCCTCTGATAAACACAAACCTCGAATTGCTTCTTTTGCATAATGCTCTTTATTGCTTCTACATATGATGCATCTAGCCAAGTCTCTGAGCATGAACAACGCAGCATATTGACCCCAGACGGGCTACCCAAAGCTCCCCTTAAGAACCCATCTGTATTCTGACCTGGGAGGAGTTGAGCTGTGAAAACGGCCATGCCTCCTCTCGGTCTGTTGTGCTCCTAACTGGGTGTTGATGATGAGTTATTAGGTTTATCTCTTCAGGGGGAAAGAGTCTCCACTGGAGAGACTTCCCATTTTGACATCTCCTCCCTGAGGTTGTGGTTCCTCAAGGTTCCCAGGGATGGGTTGACTGGCCTCTCCACCTACGCTTGGGCTAATCTCCTCCATGGCTACCTCCAGCTGGGTCTCAGGACCTTGAAGCACAGCTGGAGCCTGAGCTATTTCAGGAAAAATAACCCTCCTCTCCTCCTTGAATTTGGAATCTGAATCATCAGCATAACTGGCACGGGGACTCTCCCATGAGCGCGTCTGAGGTTTGACAGGATGCATGCACAGAAGTCAGACAGCCACTGCTAATGCAATTCAAATAAATCAGATTTCTCCACCTAATACAAACACAATTCTTTATCAACAATATGCCTACTTACACCATTTTCTTTATACATGGTCCCTATGCTCTTAACTTTACTTTCATTCCTGCAAAGATCACAAACTCCCCTGTTCCATATGGCAAGTATTTCATTTTCATTATATGGTCTGAAAGAAATAAGATCAGATTTTGAACAATTCTTCATGAAGAATGCCTATGTATTGCAATAAATATAGCACTAACAAGATATTAAAATGTAGCATTTCAACTCACTCATTACAGATGGATATATACATCAGCCAAGCAGAGACATTCCAAGTGCACTTGGTTTACCTGTGGTGGAGGCTGAAGACAAAAAGACATTTCTATGAATTTTCCCTGGTCTTAGAGAATGTTCATGAAAATGCCACCTCAATGTTGCATCTTGAGAATGGACTATGAAATCGGGTGGCATTTGGCAGACAGCTTCATTATACACCTTCCAATTTTGCTGGCATTTACAACTTCCATAGGTAAGTAGAGGTGAGTAGTGCTCTTGTGCACATGAGGCCTTCAAACATTGGTTGGGACCATGAAAGGAAGTCAGTGCACAAGGCTATTGAGAATGCAGGGGTGGGTGACGGAGATCAAACGGATGAGAGGGAACAACTTCCAAATAGCCTGAACTGACTGATCCTGCCTAATCTGGGAAACTAAGCAGAGTTGGGCCTGGTTGAAATCTGGATGGGTGGCTTAAATGTCATGAACTGCCTAGAGAACTTCAGCTAACGGTGGTATAGAGAAGATGGTGATGATGATGATGATGATGATGATGATGATGATGATGATATTGGTGATTGTATACAACAAGGAAGACCTCCAGATATACTTTGGGCTTCAGCACTCAGAAGCTCCTGCTAGCATGATGAATGGTCCTGAATGCTGGGAGTCAGAGTCTGAAAATTCTCCTTTCTACTCACCTCTACTTACTCAGAATAAGTGTGAAGTATTTTTTCCCACTGAGGATGACCTCAAGGGTTAATGTGTCAGCGACTGCATGCCACTGGCAGGGGGGCAGGCCAGAGTTCCTATGCAATGTTTCATCTTAAGATCACCACACCATGCTGTTGCTCTATCTTCTCTTCTTCAAAGAACTGTAAAAACAAAAGCGAGAAAGAATGTGCAGTCATGATCACCTTGAACCAGCATCAACACCATGACACGCTTTCACCTTCGTTCTCTCTCTGTCATGAACACAAATGCCCTATCTATCCACGTATTGCTCATATCCGAACCCCTCCCCTATTCACACTCACATAGGAAGTGTGAAATCCATCTGGCAACCTGCAAAACACAGGTGGAAAAATGCGTAACACTTTCAAATGAGAGTCAGTGCAGTCTACCGGTTATAGTATTAGACTGGCACTCGGGAGGTCCGGGTTCGAAGCCCCCTCGTTCCTGAAGCTCATTGGGTGGCAATAATGAGCAGACAAAGAAAAAGAGTTTAGATTTGTATGACTCCAAACTGTGTACTCTTCCCCTGCCCTCCAAGTCACATGGATTCCATGGACTTGCAATTTTTTTTTTAACTTTCTGGAATTATATGCACCTTTAGTCATACACAAATACAAACACACAACCCTGCTAACAAAAATGTGCATTTCCTTCCTACTTGGCTAAAATGTGAAAATGCAGATTTGGTGGAGGGGATTCACATGTTTGCACAATGTGCATTTGGAAGTACATGATTGTGCATATGGACATTTTCAAACGTAGTGGCAAGTTCAGGACATTGAAAAACAATCCAATTCTATCAATTGGTGAACAATAGAGAAGAAGATACCTGACAATCTGCAAAACACAGATAGTGTGAATTTCACAAAATCTGTGCTTCCGTACACACACACACACTGAGGGAGAGGGAGAGATCCCAAACCAAGAACTCCATAAAAGGGGTAACTTTTGAAAGTGCTGATCTCACCACCCTGCTCTTTACTTGGACAAGGATACCTTTTTTGCATTGCTCAGTTGTTACTTGACAATCTGCCCGCAGGTGGGGAATAGCCGATCAAGCAGAAAGAAGGGCTGTGGAGTCCCACTGTTCAGCTTTACATTACCGCAATGCCTCCTCTTCCCCAGTTGTTCAACTATTTTCTGCTGATAGCTGGGCAGTGTTCAGCCCAAGGGGGAGTTTGAACATCCCATCATCCCTGCAGTCGTAACAATGATTGCCCCTACATTGCTAAGCCAATCAGTGGGGAAAGGAGGGCTTCCATGTGTTGCTTGGCAGCCATGTTTGCTCCCCCTCCCCCATTCCTCCATTGATCAGATGATCACATGGAGAGATGCTCCAGCTGATATAAGATTAGGCAAGGAGCTACTTACGGTCCTCAAGTTTCTCTCTTCTGATATAGAAGCCAGAAGCTAGTGGTCCCCCTGCAGCAGTCCTCCAGTTTGGCCCAAGGATGACGCCCCCCCCCCCACCCAGGCACTCCCAAAGCAGAAAGAAAGAGATAGAATGAGGGGGAGATTGTTATTCAGACTGTTTTCAAGCAGAGAATAGCAATTAGACATGGCTGCCTCAGTGAAATATTCGGTGAGTTATACTTTGTTTAAAGTCACATATAACTCATTTCCCATAAATGAGCAAATTTCACCCCTCAGAAATTTTAACACACAAAGGGGAGAGGCACAGTTCTTTAAGAATCAGTAATTCAGGCATATTCCTCACACCATTCCTTTGTTTAAAAATAATATGATAAATCCATTATTAACGTAATTATTGATGATCTACACTCCATTAGTTCATAAAGCCTGACAAACTATCAAGTGTTCAACCACCATCAGCATTTTCTTGACTGCTTTACGATACAGATAGATTGAGTAGGCTGAGTCTTAATTCTAGTTTTGTAATAATGCTCCTCAGACGTGATCTGGCTTCAAAATCACTGCAGCAATGCAGATGGAAAAATTAAAACATATTTTACTCAGAAGGAACATAAACAAATCATTTTCAGTTCACACTTGTAGCATTCCTTTATTTGTAATTTTTATTTTTTTTAATACCATAGAGTCATCTTCTTCCCCTTCTGTGTATTACGTTGATTATATGCTTGATGAAAATGAGAGATGAGCACTCCATTGTGTTAGGTATCACAACCTGGTTCTGAATTTTCATAATAGAAAGTCCTGGTCGTCAGTGACAGACCTATTGTTATTATTTTCCATAATGGAGAAAAAGGGGTACATTGGCTTCCATAGTGCTCAAAATTACTGTCATTAGTCGTTCCCGGTGAAAATGCAACACGCAGATACATCACAGATCTTTCCGTTCTTGTTGTTCATGCAGCACCTTTGAAATGCAGGGCACTTTAGAGAGGGATACAATTTTTTCAAAAGGCAGGTCCTTTCCCTAGGGGAGCTTGCCGTCCAAAGATCAAAAGAGACACTCCATTGACCTCATTGCTGCATTTAACATGTCTGGTTCCCCCTCCCCCTTTAAAAATAGCTGGTGCGAATGGGAGACCAGGAGTTAAATCCACCTTCACTTCATGACTGAGAAATCCCTACTATTTCAATTGGTCTGCTCTACATAGGCCTAAGGGCATAGTGCTATGCATCTTCAGACAGAGATCAGAATGGGAGCTGTAGAGTCCTTTTTCTGACTAAATGTACATAGGATTGCACCCTAAGTGACTTAAGCCTCATTCATTTCTATGGGACAACTGTATTTAGGATTACTCAAACTCTAGGGTCAGGATTTCAGCACACAGGAAGGCAAGCTAACCCTTCCTCTGCACTTCTGTGCAGACAGAAATTGTCCTGAAGCTCCCATCCAACTGGAAAGGAAACTTCCTTTGGCTGCCAGATGTTAGCATCCAATGAAGGCAAGGTCTTCCCATCAGAGATGATGGAGTCAATCTCTTGTGGTCTTCCATGTGAAATGTGACTAGTATGTCAATAGAAGGGTACTGATGGTACTTAAATGAATACTCCTAACCCATGGGATCAATTATATGACATAAAACTTAACGATAATTTTATGATATAGACCAAGAACAATAGACACTCATGATATACTATACATGTCAGAAATTGGAATATTCTTATCCACATGGGTTCATTATGATGAATAACAAAGAACAACAATGCAAGAGAAAAATATTGCTACACCAAACTGTAAAGGAAATTTAAGACATGTACAAATTATACCAGCTGTGAACAACTGGAAGAACCATGGAATCCTAGTGGTGGAACTACATTTTGCGATTTCTTCACAATGTGCTGCTGCTGGTTCCTCCAACTTCCAATCTCTCCTCACCCCTTCTTCTTAGGTCTTCTACTGCCCACCAGGTGAGAGGGACCAGTTTTTGGGTGGAACAAGCACACGTCTCTGTTTTCCTTCTCTTCCTGAGTGCTGATGCTGTGAGTAAAAGCCCACTGGACCCAATCCTCAAGTTTGCACCATGGGAGAGGACGGGCAGCAGTAGCTGCCCCTCGCTTCTGCTGTATACCTGGATCTGTGAGTGGGCCAATGGCGGGTCAGCTCCCTCCACTCCCTTACCTGCCCTCACCTGCTTGTAGGTGAATCACCCAAACATTCACATTCAGAATTCACTGGACCAAATCCCAGCTGCCGTATCATTCACAGGGAGAGAGCAGGAGAGGAAGAACATCCCCTGATCCGCACAACTGGCATTCATTTGTCCACTTGGGTTGGGCAGCTGCAGAAGTGTGAAGAGGGATGACTTCCCTTTGCCTTTGGGGCAGGAGAGGCAGGAAGCAGGGAGGTGAAGGAGTTGCTGCCAGCAAAGCCAGTGGTTCAGCCCTGAGGAGGGATATAGTTACCCAAAGGGGGGGTCAACTTTCCATGGCATCCAGTTTTCACTGTCAGTGATGTCAGATGCTGCTGCTTGAAAACAGCCAATCAGGGGCACATCTCCTGGACAATGCCAAGCTCTGATGCTGCACTTGTTTGTCTCTCGCTACAATAAGCTTGTTCAGCAAAGAGCTCATTTATGTTGCTTCCAGAAAATGTTCTAGCAAAGGATCTGAGAAGCCTTGAGAGAGAAAGAGCAGGAGATCAGACGTAAATCAAGCTCTCTTTGAACCCACTGGGGACCAAATCGGACAAATTAGTGCTACGATAAAACCATACTCTTCGTTGATCTGTTGGACTGACCATGCTACACCTGGCTCACATAGGAAACAGCTTGCTCCAGGAGAATCCTGCAAAGCTCCCTTCTCTCACACCATTCCTGACAGGTAGCGATGGAAGCGTTCATCAGTTTTTAAGTTTCTGCCTGTTCCTCCCTTCATCCTTTTATGACTTTTCAGTGTTTTCTGAAATGCAGAGTTGTTGCCTTTGACTTGTTTTGTTTTAATTTGTCGTGCTTTTTTATGTTGCTTTTAAAAATAAAAGGTTGCATGAAAATTCATAACTATGATGTATACTTTTCTAATATGTGCAATTTTATGCCATTTTACCCTATGTACACATTTTTGCAGCCAATTTTCCTAATGCGATGCATTTCTGTGTAGAATTTTCCCTCACGTGTGCATTGTATACACATTTTTTAGTGAAAACGTTCATTGCAAAATTCAGTGTGAATTTTGCAGGGTAACTAGCCCAATCGCCATCTTTGGGACCAGAATCCAATGTGGAATGAGACCAGGATGATTTAGAATCCAGTAGAATCATGGAAACTCAAGGCCTAGGAGCTTGGCTCTGTCTGGCATCCCATATGATAGTAGAGGAAGAAAGCAGATTCTCTCCATCAGCCATAACTGTCAGAGACACACCTGATCCAGATCTCTGATATATAACTCAAGTAATCTTCTTTGGGAACTGAGCAGTAGCAGGATTCCACCGGGAAATGGCTTCAAGAGTGCCATTAAGCAAATGAAGAGGGGAAGAAAAAACCCCTCTTTGACATGGCGCCTGCTCATGGTCAGATTTCCCCATCAAAAACTTAGATTGTCAGAAGAGGGGACCTCCCCCTGGATTGAACTAATGTACAGGCTGAAGCCCTTGCAGAGAATGTGTTTAGTGCTCACAATACTTTCCCTGGATTGATCATAAATCTTGAACTCTTGTTTGTCACAACTTCAGTAATATTGAGGCTCTGTTCTGCAGTTATTCCTGGGATTATGACTGTGTATGAACTTTAACCATGGGACTGTCCCTTGACCAAAGAAATGCATCATAGCTTTTCCTTAAACTATCTGATATATTACAGATTACAGAACAATGAGCTCTGCCATGAAATTCCTGGGAAACTTGTCTGTGTAACCTGGTCTAAAGTAACGAAGAGTTAATTTTAAACAGTGATCTGTCAACTTGCCAGAAGGTACCAAAAGTCCTAGCCTGACAATAAAATGAGATTCAGTTCACAGAGTGATTTGCAAGTGTAAAATTAGGTAAGCTCATATTGCAATGCAAATTGAATGAATTTCTTCTTCATTCCTGCTAACAAGCAGTCAGGTTTGGAGCGGCTTAGGGCACTGACTCACCCCTTTGCCTTTCTCTGCCCCTGCCCAAGAAGAAAGAAGAATCCAGTCTGTCAAAATACAGGAATAAATCCTTGCCTGAGGAAAGGTGTCATGGCAGCATCTCACTCCTGGCTTTTTTTTTAAGTCTTAAAAAGAGGCCACATTGGAAGTTAATGCAGAGAATGTAAATAACTCCAGTTCCAATTCAGTAAGAAAAAACCTTGGCTTCTTTCGTTATATATTTATTTTACATGGATTTGTAAAAATAAGAACTCTTGCTTGTTACAGAATTGGAGAATAATAGGGGTGGGGAGAAAGAAAACTAGGAGGGAAAGAATTTCAAAATAATTCAACATGTGGATGGAAAAGGCCATTGTTCCACCAGGACTCCCTACAGAAAGGATGACTCCTGTCCATTTTTGTTATGTGGAAAGAAACACTGCTATCGGATGACAAAAGCTTGTGGCTTAACAACGTCCTTGGCCTGCCACTCTCTAAAGCAAAATTCTGCTGCAGTTGTGGGTTGTCTTAGCAACATCTCCTGTACATGACAGCCCCCGGTGTGTGGATCCCTAAAAGGAAGAAAGTAACAATTGCATCAAGGAAACCATGTTGTTTTGCCAAATGCTGGTTCTAGGATGTGTAGAGTGAGGCGGCAGACAGCAGGTGAAGTCAAAGATAGCAGGTGACAGCGTGCATAGGTCACACTTGTGAATATGCCCACATATCAGAAAACAACAACCAAAACTTCCCCACATATGTGAATCCAGGAAGTAAAGAGGAAAGCTATGCTAAGCAACCCTGATCTGATCTTTACTATCCACTGGAGCAGGGGGTGGTTAAATATGGGGAGACATTTGAAAAATATGGCACCTTACCTATAGTCCAAAGTGGTACATTCCATATTTATTTCCCTTTGTAATCACTCTGATTCTTGCAAGTTAAAGTTTGCTACACTTAAGTGTATTGTGTGTAAAGGCAGGGCTGAAAGGGAATGCAGCTTTTTGACTGGAAATGCATGCCAGGGGACTGGTATCTTGTAAAGAGAGCCAGTGTGGTGTCGTGGTGAAGAGCATGAGACTGAAACTTGGGCAATTGGATTCTAGTCCCTATTTGGCCATGGAGTCAACTGGGTGACTTTGGGCCAGTTGCAGGCTCTCAGCCCGACCTACCTCACAGGGTTGTTACTATGGGGATCAGATGGAGAGCAGCAGGAGGGGAATGATGCAAGCTGCCTTGAGTCCCTTGAAAGGAAAAACAGCCAGGATATAAATCCAATAAACAAACAAACAGTGCTGTGTGTTGGTACAATGGCTTTTGCTGCGACTGTTGCCATTGAGAGAGGAATAGGAAAGCAAGTTTCTGGCTAATATATGGCATGGCTGAATCAAAATGGATGCTCCCTGACTGGAAGACAATGAATTATAAAGATATCTAATGGCCCTCCATTTGAGCAGAAGCGGTGTGATAGGACTATGCGGGGCACATCAAAGCTCATGGGATGAAGGTTTCTAACTGCAGCGAATCTAATGAGCTATGGAGAGGAATCTAGGGAGAGACAATATAACTTGAGAAGAGGATCATCCTCAGAGAAGAGGAGAAGGCAGGCCAGATGGGATCAGGAGAATGTGAGGAGGAACAGTTTTTGCAGAGAGTTGAAGATGAGCAACTGAAGATGGTGGAGGTCTGAAGCCTCTGAACAAGAATGAAAACTGTAAGGTAATTCTGGTAAGCAGAAGTAAAGGTCTCAGGTGGTAGCTGAACTTTACCAGAAAGGACGCCTGCCTATAAAGCCCACCTGTTTAGGCCTGGGAGTTAACTCAGATGGTGCTTGATAGGAGAATTGACTTAGGTTTGTTTAGTGATAGAAATGGGGGCTTCTTATGGCCCAATTGACATGAACTCTAATAGTATAAATGCACTGTTGTAAAGTAAAGTAACTTCAAGTTAATTATTTCTTTATTTCTTTTTTTCATAAAACACTTTATACCTTTGCTTACTCTCCTTATAATCTTGATTCGTCTCATGCCTAAGAGCCAACTAACAGGTAAAAGGGTTTTTTTTTTTTTTTTGAAAAAGGGACACCACTTTATGGTGGTGGTGGAAGTAAACAGTGCTTTTCCACAGCTAGGAGCAATTTTTATTTATTTTTTTATTCAAAGCTTTTCTATCCTGTCCCCTACAGAACATCTTGGGACGGCTTACAATTGTGGCAGGATGTTCCAGTGAAATTGTTCTTGCATGTTACTATACATATGCATGTTAGTGCATAACATCTCAGCAAAATCTCTGCTACTTCTTTACAGAGACCATCATGAGCAGCTTGATTGGAGAAAGTATGCTTTGCTACAGCCATTTATATATGTATTTCACATCACTTTATTAAGTGTCCTGATGCACTTGAATTCTCTTACGGAAACCAGGGCAAGCAGGATTCCCATGTGAATCAACCAGTGGGGGTAGAGGAACACCTTGCCTTTGATCACTGAAATGGAATTCTGGCAGTTCAGCATGGAAAGATCAAAATGTGAAAGCATCCCGGGAGTTGTAATATTATGCAGGCTTCATAGATCATGCAGTTATACATTTCACAAAGATCTGCATTATGCAATGACTGGCAGCACCTTATCCCCTGCAATTTCATCCAGACAGCACAAATCATCAGCCATCTATGTGACTTGCTCTCATGCCCAGGAAGAAGCCTATGTCGACAAAGGCCATTTTATTCCGTTGCAAATGCACAAGGACAGGAGCTGTGCAAGGCCCACTCCCTTCTGCTGTGTTTCCATCACCCTTCCCATCTATCTATTTATTTATTTATTTTGCTTAAAAGCTGCCCACTTGCAACATCTGGAGAGCACTGTCTGAAGGGGAATCTTCTATCCTTGGAAAGTTTCCACAAGATTTGGAATGCCAATTCAGATCCTTGATACTTGATACTTGACTGATGGGAGAGTCCAAATAAATCCTCAAATAGAAGAATATGCATGTCCTTTAATATAAAATCTGGCGGCAGCAGTGCCCTTACTCACCCTTCCTATCTGCAGGCTTTTTCCTTTCTTGTTCCTTCTCTGCAGGGAGGGAGGGAGGAAGGAGAACCAGCCCCAAGCTACACTACTGATCCACTAACACTCAGGTAAGGCAAGCTTCCAGATGAACCAACAGTGAAACAATGTTGTCAGCTGATTGAGCAGTTGTGCTTCCTTTGCAATGTAAAAAGACCCAGCCAGCTCCTGCTTTGTCTTAAGGAATTTTGCTTCTCTGATTGCAAAAACCACAATATTTTATACGAGTTAGCTTTCTATAACTCCTAATTGTTTTACTTGTCATCTTTTACTCAAGCCTTCGATGGGTAATGATGTTTTTCCTGATACCTATAATGATTTCTCAGTGTTTCAGAATTATTCCCCATTGTCCTCGCCTTCTCACCCATTCAGAATCTCATCACTGTCCCAAAACTGTGTACATGTACTTATTAAAATAAACCTCTGTCTATGCTCCGGAAGCTAGTAGTCAGTTCAGTGTGTTGGATACCTCTGTCAGAGAGGGGTACCTGGGTGTTCTGCCATAAACTGCTGAGGCTGAGCATAGCATCTTCCTGTGAATCTGAGCATACATTCTCCTGGTTCTGCTAATCAAGATTTCCTGACAAACTCAAGAAGGAACTTTTCATAGATGGTTCAAGAATTGCTTGACTAAGTTCTGTGTTGATCAGAGGTCAAGTACTTGAGGCTTTCCAAAGTCCTATCTCAAAGGAACACCTTCACTCTCCAGGAATTTCAACAGTGGGGAGTAGCTAGCATCTCATCTGAAGTGTTACACAACTGTTACTCTTGAGGGGAATGAGTGCAGAGAATTTGCTCTTGCTAGCCTGAAGTGGCCCCCAAGGAGCATGAGGCATCAGGAAGAGATTCCTGGATCAAGCCTCAACTGAGCTTGTCACCAACTG